AGTTTAAGCAAGCCCCCAATATAATGCTTTATTTTATTAAAAATTGCCTTGGTCATGGCGTCTCCTCTTGGCAACATAAAAGTAAGTCATTAATCTTTAATATAATGTGTATCTTACAGCTCTACACCTTCTCAAAGTTCTGTCAGCCTTTGCTACGTGCTAAGTTCAAGACAATGTTATGTCTTTGATGAATTGAGGCTGTACTCAGGTGACCCCAAATTCAGATTCAAACTTTCTTTTCACTAGTGGGCTGAAAAGCATAGTTTGATGTCAACTTAAAATGAGCTAGAATCATTTAGGAAGAAAGACTCAACTGAGACAATGCTCCCATTAAGTTTGGCCTGTAGGCAAGTCTATAGGGCATTTCCTTGATTGATGACTGATATGGGAGGGCCCAGCTCACTGTGGGCAGTAACATCCCCTAGCCAGAAAGAGAAGATCCCCATGGCTGGCTTTGTCTACCCCACTGAATCCATGCTACAGAGAAAACTAGCTCCAGGGAAACTCACCAGGCTCTTGACAACCTTCAGCAGCTCCTCCATGACCACTGCAATGCCCTGGTAGCCAAGCAGCCGACAGATCACTTGGAAGTGAGGAGGCCCCACAAAGTTCCGGTAGCTGCCATAAATGCTGGAGTAGGCTAGGTTCAAAGCCTGGGGAAAAGACGACAAAGTTTTCAACATGGTTCACATGCATACATGCATGCCGATGGCATCCAGATGAACATGGAGATGTGTTCCTCTATACCCCATCTTAGATTAAGAGAACCAGCAGATTTCCAGACTGTCCTTACTGACATATGGACGTTTTCACTCTTTCTGAGTGCAAACTGTAAGCAGAGAACCTACCGGGACAGTGGAGGTGGTCCTCTTAGGGAGGCAAAAGGCATTTTGGAGCTGATAGCAGCAGTCCCCAAGAGTAGGTGATGAAAGATTTTCACACAGGAAGGGCATCTAATCTTGTGGAAGGACCAGGTATGGAGAGCAGGGGGATCCCTAATGAAAGGATTTCATTTCCTTCAATGCATCTTCTAAATTTCCCTTAAAACTTCTTTGATCTGCCAGTTTTCTTCACAAAGCATTGTGGCAACAGCTGCTCTATGCCCGTGTTATAGGATGGCTGCTAGGGACTTGAACTCAGATCCTCATGTTTGTACAAGAAGCACTCTTAACCTGGAGCCACTTCTACACCCTGCCTTAAGTTTTAAAAATTAATTTCTAGTTTGAATTTGCTTTGTGTATGATTTCAACTCCAGATTTAAGTTTTATTTATTTTGTAGCTCAGGATATGGTAAACTTCCACATCCATTTGAAAAAGTATCCAGCTGCTCTGCAGTGTTATGGTTCAGTTCTTCATTGTTGCTGGTTTTGTTTCAACACTACATCTATTAATTACTAACAAAAGAGTTGATGTTCTTGTGTAGATCCTGTGAAGTATCTTTTTTTCTAAATTAGTTTTTGTAGCCGGACTTGGTGGCACATGCCTATAATCCCAGCACTTGCGAAGGCACAGGCGAGCGGATCTCTGCGAGTTCAAGGCCAGCCTAGTCTACAAAGCGAGTCCAAGACAGCCAGGGCTACACAGAGAAACCCTGTCTCAAAAAACAAAACCAAATTAAAAAAAAAAGTTTTTATTTCTGTATAGAAGCGCTCACTGGCATATAAGCATGCAGGACTGGTATAAGTATCTTGCATGGTAATGTCCTTCGCTCTGAAGTCTGACTTATCTTGGATTAATATAGCCACACCTGCTTTGTTCTGATTGATACTTGTATCACATGCCTTTTTCTATTCTCACCTTTATCTTCTGATATCATTGATAGAATCTGATGCAAGTTGAGCATATTGTTGAGCTAAGGATTTCTATTTCCTGAGAATCAAGCCCAGGACCTCATACATACGAAGCACACATGTACTATAGGATACACACTGGTCCCAATTGTCTTTTAATCCATTTGGCCAACTTGTATCTTTTAAATGTATTTAGGCAAAATAGTTAGACATATAAAAATCTTTAAATACAAATATAAGTTGCAAGAAAGAAATGATTATGACATTCAACCTAGGTTATGAAGAGAAAAGACACAGAGAAACAGCTAATAAAAATAGATGAGAAAACCTGTGGTGAAAAAGTCAGTAACAAGGAACAGAAATTCTGAAAGAAAACAGACTGAAAAGAAAATAAGAGTGTTGGAAACCAAAAAACTCAATGACTCATAAAAACAAACAAACAAAAATCCCAGAGAGGTCAGGATCATAATCAGAGCAGCACAGAAAAAATACAGAGATGAATACAAGGTCAACAAAACTATTCAAACATTAATATAGAAAAGAAAAAGTAAAAAACATGACCACAATGTCTAAACTTCGAAATATGTTTAAGAGGCCAAAACTAAGAATCTACCAGACAGAAATAGCTGCGGTATGCACTAAAGGCATGAAGAACCTACTCAATGAGATAATACCAAAGTTAGAAAAAGACTTCTAAACACAAGAGCATTAGAATTCTACAAACACATGACCAGAGAAGAACCTCTCCTTGGCACATTTACACACAAACTTTAATTAATTAAAATAAAGGCTATAAAAGAAAAAGACCAACCAACCAGAACCTCAGCAACCATATAAGTAAGAAAAGCAAGGAAAAAGCCCTGGAAATAACTGCCAGCCACGATGGCTATGTTGGGCAAAGCTGTCTTTGAGAACAGAAATAACAACAATCATCTTCTAAGGTGATCCATTACCAAGCCAGCACTGCAGAAGATACTTAAAGGAATATTATACACAGAGAGTAGAAAGAGCCCATAGCAAACACAAAAGCACAGGAAACAATAAATTTAACGAGCAAAACAGACAAATGACCTAGAGCTAGAAAGGAATTTGTCACATCTAACACAATAAAACACAAACCTCTAACACAGGGGAGAAATAACAATAATCCACCCCAAAGGAAAACTAACCAACAAAATTACAGCAATTAGTAAACATCTTTCAATTATCTTAAATGTAAGTGGTTTCAACTTACCAATTAAAAAACATAGAGTGGATTTAAAAAACTACAACCAAGAAGCACACTTTGGGCTGGAGGGACAGCTCAGAGGTTAAGAACACTGTTTCCAGAGGTCCTGGATCCAATTCCTAGCTCCCACATGATGGCTCACAACCAAAACATTCCATTCCCAGGTGATCTGACTCACTTTCTGATCTCTGGACATAAGTGCAGGTGAAACACCCATGCATATAAAGTAAAAATTATGAAAAAAAAGCACACCTTTTTGGTTAAAAACAGAATCAAAAGACAAACAACAATCTATTAAACAAATGTAAACTAAAAACAAGCTGGTGTAGTTAATTCTATTAATGTAGACTTCAAAACAAAATTAGCTAGAAGAAATAACAGAGGTCACTACATATTAGTAAAAGAACAATTAATAAGGCAGATACAACAGTTGTCAAACTCTCAGGGCTGGAGCAATAACTCAGTGGTTAAAAGCGAACCTGCACGGAGGCTCACAACATCTGTTATCCTAGCTCTAGGGCATTGGATGCCTCCTTCTGGCCTCCATAGCCATCAGACACACACATGGTACACATGCCCATTGAGTATATCTTTTCAGTAAAATCAGGAAGATCTCAAGTAACCCCAAGACCTAAGAAAATCAGGA